TGATTGATTGGTTGATTTGATTTAGGTTTAATTAATTAATGAGGTTACTTTTGATTAATTGGTTGATTTGATTTAGGTTTAATTAATTAATAGATTAAATTTGATTTAGGTTTAATTAATTAATTAATTTGGTTCATTTTGATTAATTGGTTGACTTGGTTTAGGTTTAATTAATTAATTAGTTTAATTTGGGTTAGTTGTTAATTTGTTAAATTATTATTTTTTGTTAATTGTTTTGTTAATTTCTTAATTAATTGTTAGTTTGATTTAGGTTTAATTAATTAATGAGGTTATTTTTGATTAATCGCTTGATTTGATTTAGGTTTAATTAAATAATTAGGTTAAATTTGATTAATTGGTTGATTTGATTTAGGTTTAATTAATTAGTTAGTTTAATTTTGATTAATTGATTGATTTGATTTAGGTTTAATTAACTAATGAGGTTCATTTTGATTAATTGGTTGATTTGATTTGGGTTTAATTAATTAATTAGTTAGTTTAATTTTGATTAATTGTTAATTTGTTGATTAATTTATTAAATTGTTATTTTTTGTTAATAGTAAGTTTAATTTGTTAATTAATTTTTAGCTTGATTAGGTTCACTTAATTAATTAGGTTAATTTTAATTAATTAGTTGATTTGATTTAGGTTTAATTAATTAATTAGGTTAATTTGATTAATTGGTTGATTTGATTTTGGTTTAATTAATTAATTAGTTTAATTTTGATTAATTTTTAATTTGTTAAATTTTTTTTTGTTAATTGTTAGCTTAATTTTTTAATTAATTGCTAGTTTGATTGAGGTTTAATTAATTAATTAATTATATTAATTTTGATTAATCGATTAATTTTTAATTGTATTTATATTGGAAATTTTTAAGTAATTGTTAGTTAAATTTAATTAGGTTTGAATTAGGGTTGATTTTATTTAGATTTAAATTTAATTAGGTTTGAATTAGAATTAACTAGGTTAATTTGATTTTGATTTAATTAATTAATTAGGTTAAATTTGATTAATTGGTTGAAGTTTAATTTTATATAGATTGAAATTTGTTAATTAATTGTTAGTCAAATTTAATTAGGTTTGATTTAGGATTAAATTTAATTAGGTTTGAATTAGAATTAATTAGGCTTATTTGATTTAGGTTTAATTAATTAATTAAGTTAAATATGATTAATTGGTTGGTTTTTAATTTTATTTGTATTAAAAATTGTTAATTAATTATTAGTTATATTTAATTAGGTTTAAATTAGGGTTAATTTGACCTAGGTTTAAAATTAATTAGGTTTGAATTAGAATTAGTTAGGCTAATTTTTTTAGATTTAATTAATTAATTAGGTTAATTTTGATTAATTGATTGATATTTAATTTTATTTGTGTTGAAATTGTTAGTTAAATTTATTTAGGTTCGAATTCGAGTTAATTGGATTTTAGTGTATATAATTATTGAAGTGTGCTTGAGATATGTCGTTGCGTATCGAACTCGAAGGGTTGGAGACTCTCAAAAATTAAGGAAAAAAAGATTGGTTTAATACTCTATGATGGAACTAGAATGATGAGTTTGAGATTTAATTTCGATGGAGTATCCCGAGACAAGTGTTAGTCTCAATGTGTGTAAATTGATTATTGGTTGATTTAATATCAATATTTGTGTGATTATTTGGAGTATCCGTTAATTGAAAAAGATGCAATTTACGGGAGAGATTTTGTCGAAATTTTATTAGATGTGTAGAAAAATTATTAATTAAATAACCGTGTGTTGCCTCGAAAATGCGAAACAAAATAATGAGGTATGATCGTGCATGGATATATGTTAGGTATATCGATGGGTATTTAAATGGTGATTTCGTGAGTGCTCTTGACGATAATGCCCTTGCTAATAGTGCTCTCAACTCGCAAATGTCCCCATAACGGTTTTCTCGGCTCTAGGAAGCTCTACTAGGTCTAATTCTAGACGGATAGACCTTTCGGGTCTTGAATAACTAGTAAATAATATGTTTTACATGTGGTAACTAGTTTTATATTTTTATATATTATATTACAATCATTAATTAATTCATTAATTATTTATTTGTTTTATTCGATAGTTTGGTTCCTTCAAGTAAGCGAGTCCATAAAAATACCATAATTTTCAAGGAACGATTGTGACATAGTCGGCTTCACATGGAAGTCTCGTCTCTACGAAGACGAAAGATTTCTATTTTAATGAGTTTAGGGTAATATATTAATTATTTGCTTATATTTCATTTAAAGTATTAATTTAACATGAAATGTATTGATATATTTTTTTCTTCATGTAGAAGGACTTTTTATAAGATGCGGTTGTCAACTCGTTAATTAAGAATGCATGAGAGATTCGACACAAAGGCAATACAACGACATATTAAACAAGTCGAAGAACATGAATGACAAACTCACATATGTTAAACGAGTAAGTGTGGAAAGCTTGGCACATGAATTGAGCCACACTTGAGTTTTAGACTCGATCTCAACAAGCATCCGAAAATCATATGTCGAAAGCAAGTGGTGTCGATGCTAGCCCATCTTGGCATACGAGGGGTCCACCTATTTGATTAAACATGATGAACATTTAGTAAACCTATTATTCATTGTGTTGTAAATTTATTTTTGTATTTATTACAACTCATATCATTTATCTATTTTTTTCGCATACTAAATTGGATCACAACTCAAAACGTTACGAGTTGTTTGTGATCACTCACAAGTGAAAAGATGAGTCATTCATTGATAGACGAGTCACGGACGAGTAATGATAAGCTTTTTTTTTTTTTTTTTGTAAATATACATCTATCAATATAATCTAAAAAAATATATTTATGATTTAATATTATAATTATTTCAATGATGCAGGAGCATATGCATTCAATGCAAGAAGTAGTTGGAAGGTGATTCATCGTCTTCAAATATTAACATCTCCAAGATATATTTGGATGTCGTATGAGGAGAGAAGAAACAGAAAGTGCGCGACTTTGGATCACAAGCATCCTAGTATTACTCTCATTATACATGCCTTGGTTTCTCTTTTGAGGTTTTGGATGAAGTTTGCCACTTCACTAGTGATAAAATTAAACTATATATTCTGCAAGTGCTAAAGTACTTTGACAATCTTAGTGGACATGCTGTTACTCGTGCTGTGTGCTTTAACAGTCTTCTAATTATGTGTATACCTTCTTGCACAGGTTGGTACTCCAATTTGTGTTTCTAAAAAAGATATCATTGACATTGGTCGGATTGCTTCCATTCAGAACAACAATAATCTTGTTAATTATGCCAAGAAAGGCCAGGCAGTGTCCAGCAAGGTATGATGTGATTTCTTTTATATCATGCTGTATTATCTTTCGAATTATTGCTGTTTTTTTACATCAACTTGACCTCCAGTTCAAGGGTTTTTTTTTTTTTCATGCATTCAATTGGAATTTGTCTTAATCAGTGATTTCTGTGATTTTTCAGATTGTTAGCACCAATCCTGAGGAGCGGCAAAGGATTTGTGGCAGGCATTTAAAGCTTGAAGATGAAGGAGGTCAATTGATGTTCTTGAAACTTCTTTTCTGGTATACTTGATTGCCATTGCTATGCTCTATATATAGAGAGAGGGGGTAAACATGTATATTTGTTTTATATAATATTCAAAGTTTTTTCATGTCTTTAGATTTTTAATTACATTTTATTTGGTCCTAAAAATATTTAAAATGTTCAATCAATCTATCTGTTCTTCTGATCAATTTTTCTCCCAAACGAATTTTTTTTAATTGGAATGCTCCAATCGAAATGAAAAAAAAAAAAAATCTAAACAGGTTTAAATGTTTTTTTATTTTTTATTGTTAAGTAATGGAGTAATGGACGTTTCAGTTAAAAAAAAAAAAAAAAATCCATTATCATAAAATTTTATCGAAAGAATAGTTTGAACATTTTAAAAAAATTTTAAAACAGACAGAAGACTTGAGTATCATACCGAAACAGATAAGCATATTTATTTATTTGTTAGTTTGTTTGCTAAACCAACTGGTATAAATTATCCCAACCTTTTCAGTTTCCTATCCCTATTGGTATAGGATGATCTGACTGCTGATGATCGGAGATTGGCTCATAGACTGGAGAAGCTGTTGAGAATTAAGCAAAAGTCCAGTCACATTTGTTAATGAGAGATCTTAATCTGTTACTTGTCTGGTAATATTAGTTGTCTTGTCTATGGTAACGAGGAAGTTTGTATACCTCACTGAACGTAATTTCCTTAACTTAAAAATTCGGAAGAAATAAAGGAAGAAATTGTGTGGATTATTTTGCTCAAGCACTTGAAGGGAAAAAAAAAGGCAAGACCTTGGTCAATGATAATGCTTTTTAAATGTTTCGATTTCATCATTTCTCGTATAACATAGGTTAGTACTGAGATCAAATGTGTTTCAGTGAAAATAATTCAGAAAAAGAAATTGCCCATGCAACGGTGCACTTTCTCAAGGAAAAGACATCAGGTCATGCAAATATAGCTTGTTATGCATAAGCTTGAAAAGGGTTCCAAGTAACTATGAACTGGTGTCTGTTATGTCAACTATACCAGCGAAAGAAGTGGCCGGTGGAAGGATAAATGTATGAAAACCCGTGGAACATATGGTACTCACTCACGCACTTCAGATCTGATAAAAGAATCTATAAGAACATCACTACAAATACAAGGGGCAAAAGGATGCCCAGAAAATTACAGATGGTGGCTTCTGCAATACAACAAAACTAGATGCTCAATACATCACAACAGAATCCTGTTACTTGGCCACCATGGAAGTTCAACGTGAAACAGCACACCTGAATGGAAAAGGATGTACTGCCATGTTTTCCTTATCAAGGGAACTGCTCGATCAAATCCCAGGTCTGTGACGTATGCAAGTGGTCAGATGCAATTCACTCGATTGCACGTCTCAATCATGTGTACAACAATTGCTACAAGTCCGGACAGTCAGCTCTAAGATCTCTCTCGCATTTTGGCTCTAGCAAAAATTACTCCTGCCAGAAGACCTACACATATAATTATTTTTGTTAGCTCCACATTGTTCAAGAATGCCAATACATCTACACCCTTCAGTAGCTGTGACGGGCGTGCATGCTCGAGTGCTTGTGCATTTCGTATTCTTAAGTGAGCTAAATGAAGAAATGTTACCAAACAAAATGCTTGCTGAATTTTGCAAACTGGTGGGCACGTGGAACAAAAGGACGCCAGCGATAGAGAGTGGAATCTTGTTCAGTGACCCCACAAGACTGCAGATTGAAAATCATGGATGAGAAGTGTCTAGAATACATCTTTCAAACACTCTTTGAATCCTTACCTGTATGTGGTAGCCCCAGTTTGATGAAGAAACCACATAGAAGTGAAGCTGATTGCCAGACCCAAAAATCCACTAAGCGTCACAACCAACCAAAAGTTTGGTAACCTCAAAAGTGGGCTGCGAAAGGATTTATGACATTTAATTAGACGAACTTTCTATAATCCATTGAAAGAATATACAGATTGAACTGAACCAAAATTTTCATGTTTAACTATGTTTGAGAGAAACTGTCTTCATTCGTCATCAAAGATATTTAAAGAAAGTTGATATGGGGTATCTTCAAGTTGACAAAAGTTAAATGCAAGTTCTCAAAAAGCAATCCTGTATAGCAAATATGACAATAAGACCAGAAGAGAGCAACAAAAAGTAAACCAAGAACTTTAGCAAATAAGCATGGAAGGCAGGGAAGAAGGTGATCCCAGGGTGATTCAAAGTTGAAATAGCTAATTAGGCCCTACGAACATCCTGATCATGTAGAGACCAAACGTTCATATTCATTGTCAGTGCATAAAGTAGACAGGATACCATTCACAAACATAAAGCCAGAAATAAGCAAGGGGGGATTGAAATGGGGAAGAGAAACTCACGTTCTGGACAGATAGTCAACTTCATTGAAAACAAAAATAAGAATAAGCCCCAGAGGCAAAGAAAGGGTATTGTTTAGCATGACCATTGAAAACTCATTCAAGTTTCCAGATTTCGTGACTTGCTTAGCTGTATCCATGACCCTGCGTAGAGTCAGCTGCAGCAACAAAATCAAAGAAATAGAAAATCTATCAGCTGCAGTTAAGAATTAAAATGAAACAACAGCATGTTAACTGAGCTGATAAAGGATAGACATATTAAATGCTTAAAACAGCTTTTTTCTAGGCATAAATATTTCCACAATGAAAAATACAAAAATTAGGTGTCTCTATAGTAATCTTTCGAGCTTGCAGCTAAACAAGTCGATGTCCATCAGGTTGAGAGTTTGATGGGTCAACGGGAAAAAAAAATTATCACACTAGGTGGGAAGTTTTAACTACCAGAATGCAACCTTACGTATTATGTCAAAACAATTGTATGGCAGGTAAAATATAGTAAGTAATGAGATCAATACGTTGTTTTTTCACATTATGCATATTACTATGAAGAGAAGAGAGAATTTAAGTTGGTTACTCTCTAATCGGTTATTTGTTTCTCAGATACTCTGTTTCACTTGCATCTCTAAAAAGTATAGAGATGCAAGTCACTCCTATTCAAGCTCAAAGAAAGTATATAGCATCACATTCATCATTTATATTCATTATATTGCAACCTCCCAATCCCAATAACACCCATCTTCCTTTTTCCTTTAGGACTAACACAACATGGATGCAAACTGAGCCCTACAAATATAAAGGATATGAAATGAATTCGGATCCAAGGTAAAAAGGACTTGCAGATATAACTGTCTTCCACTTCCATCAGCATAACAGTTTGAATCCATGAGCAAAAATGGAGCAAAAAAACAACCCTTGAATAACAGGCAAAAATTTTATTCTCCCCAATCCGCCTCAACATTCCATTAAAAGCTGGTTGACACTTGTAAATATTTGGTCTCTAAGATACATAAATCCAGAACTCCAGTTTATGTGAACCCTTACCAAATCAGTTATTTAAACCCATTTTCTCTCTAATAAAATGTGAATCTGGTACGAATTGAATGCATCAATTTCCTTTACTTCCCCCACCTACCCTAAATTCTTAAGACAAGATTTTAAAACCTTAAAGTTACTCTGAATCATGATTAACTGGCCTCCAAATATGCCTTTTTTTTTTATCTAGGTTGTTCATAATAGCACTTGGGATTTGTTTCTCAAGCACAAGAACCGCAAGTCCCCAACCAAGACAATTTAATTATTTAGAATAATGGTACCAATTGTTGTGAATGCTGAAGTTTCATGATTGCACAAAATGGCAAAGCTACATATGATTTTATGCAAGAGAATGAGCTGATGAGTGTTCAAAATGAAATTTGAGTATTCAAATCCAGATAATATATAACAATACAATACGACAATTTTAATAAATTAACCCACAAAACGAATGTAAACCAAAGTACAGAAAGCAAAACCTCTAAGATATGTACTTTACCGAATAAGATGCTGTTAGGAAACAGTTTAAGATCTGCCATGCATAGCCAACAGCATGGAAAGAAAGATCAGTGATCCCTCCAGAAATGGCTGATATAATCTGCACAAGGCAAAGAGAAAGCCCTTTTTTAAACTTGTCAGAATATTAAAATGAGACCAAGTTGAGTGTGAAAGACCAGTTGGAGAAAATTTTGAACGATTACATGCATATCATGCAAATATATACCCCGTTAACTTTATGTCAATGCATAAATTTTCATCACTCATTAGTATTTGACCCGGATGATTGGATTACTCACATATACTCAGTGCCAGAGTTAAAACGACCCATTAATTTTTGCCCCCTATTGATATTCACAATTTTATCCACACATACCCAAATCCAAAACATACATACAAACACAACGAGCTCCAAATCTCTCTCTATCTCTCTCTCCCCCTCTCTTCCTCCCTCCCTCTCTTATGCATATATATCTATATATATATATATATATATTCCAGACCTTTAATTTTTTCTTTTGTTAGACTCAGTATTCTACTATTTTGGGTCTTTTTAAGTTAGCATTCCACTACCAGTCCATATGTGATGGGTTGAGCCCATTTGGCTGGTATAAAAGAATGGGAGGAGAATAATACGGGAAGATACTATTGATGGAATCAAAGTCAACACCAAAGCTGCTTTACCTAGCTAACAGTATTATTCTAGGTTCGATGTAATATTTCTTAAACCAACTAAATCCCAAAACCATCTCCATAACAAATGAACATACCATTAAGAACAGAGCAGCCCATACTCTACTGTCATGGTCCTTCTGGAACAAATACATTTCACCAAGTGCAGTAATGACATTGGTGACATTCTTGAGAACTGTGACCATGGCAACATTGATGTATTTCAAACTGCAGAGAGCACAAAACAGCAAGAACTGATGTAATCAGTAATGTAAACATAGTCATTAATTATGATTTAAAGATTCAAACACCCAAACACAAGCAATCCAAAAATTGAGATCTCATAATTGGTAGTATTCTTAACAACTATGGAAACCTAAAACTTATAGGTTTCTAGATGGTTACATCACATTTATGCGACTATATGAGTTTAAATCCAGGTTATTGCATGTGTACCACTGAATCAACATGCCAGATTCATCAAATATTGTTGCAAGCGTCCATATTGTTCCCTCCAGACACTAGAAAAGTACACCCCAGAAGTGCCACCCTCAAGATAAATAATGTTCTACTATTTTGAGGTGCCTATGCATTAAAGAATATAGATTTTGCAAGTGTAGATTATAGAAGCTGAAGCCAAAACACACCAAGTACAAGTCCCATTCAGGAAATTAGACACTTTATTGGCAATGAAATGCAAATAGAAAGGGATATAGAAGTAGCCTGTTTTGACTATTTTCAGTTGTCAGATGCAGATTTACTGGTGACTAGGCATCCTGTCACCTATATATCTCACATTTAGTAACAAGCATGCAACCCAAGGAACCACCACAGAACCGCTTTCAGATACAGAACCAGCATGTAATTCTCGAATCCCAGATCTCTTTATTAAATATGTAGCACATTCTAGAACCAAGAAGTCATCATGGAAAAAGATCAGCTTCTAAACTAACAGGACTTTGGCAAAAGAGTCTAAGCAATCTCCAATGTCAATGAGAATGGCGATTTGTTATGAGAGAGGGAAAAAAGAAAAGACAACAATCTGCAGTTTCGCACATTCCGCGAACAAACCCAAGTGAAAATCTCAGTCTAAAATTTTGAAAGACACCCATGGAGTTTAAGAATATGATATACATGGAGATAAGCATACGCTGCTTTTATGGGAAAATGTAAAAATCTGCAGAAAGATGAAAGCCAGAAACCTGAACCTACACTACGCTAACCCCATTAACACCATCAGAGGTTGAGCAAAAGTTACAGTTAACAAAAGGTGTGAACATATGCGAGGGCCTCTTTACTCTTTATGTTCTTATTAGCATGTTTTACTTCAGTACACTCTTTCTTGGAGATTTCGATATCAAAATTATTATATCCATACAATGAAAATGGATAGGTAACCTAGTCATGCTGCACGTTATACAATGCAAAACTTAGAAAGAACCACCTGAAAGCTTATATACTGCAGGTATATGAAATATAAGACAGCAAACCAAAAGGTCAATATATGAAAATGACAATACTCTACTTTATGCAAAAGAATCGGCTTCTGATACTGAATCTAGTTCTAAGTAAATCTCCAAGTCTTGCTAGATATATTTACATTTCAAATGAGATAGGACACCGATAGCAAATAGAAATTAGACGGTGAGTTAGTAGAAAAAAGTGGTTCAAATACCACTTTGAAATCCAAATGTTCAAAATTTCTTTTTGTTAAAATAATTTGCACAGAAAGACCATAAGCAGAAAAGATTCCATACCTAAACATGCTTGTAATGAGCATCCCGACAAATATAAAATTCACAGGTAACCAGACCTTAATCAATCTCCAAGTTAGTGGTTCTGTTGATATTACACCCAGAAAACTCAACGTTGACACAACAATCACCGAGATGAAATTCTGCAAACACAGAAGACAAAGTTTCATATGCTTTTAGAACTTACAAATATCAGTGTCTTTTTCAAATACTTGATTTGAATGGAAGCAGGTAAAAACCTAATAAATAACTTTCAAACACAAAAAATGATAAGTTCAGTAATACACTAGTATGAAAAATTACCTGGTAAAGCATCAAAGATATCCCAGCATTAAAATCATAGCTGGAAAGCACAAATTTGTTGACCAGTATCATACTACAGGAGGAAATGCAATATGCAAGGCCAGATAATAAGGCTTGATTCTGTATTCTAACTACACCTTTACTACGTATTGGTTTATCTTTATCTTTTTCCATCTTGCCATCTTCCAAGTCAATTTCATCATTCTCATGAGACTTCATTGAGAAAGAATAAGATAACCTGTATGAAGATAAAAGAAGATAAGTACTGAATAACTATTGCAACTCTGGTAGAGTATTGTTGGCTACACTCAACTAAACAGAGAAAAGGGGGTAGAAGGAAAGGAAAAGAAAGATATGAAAACGCTTCAAGTATGAAAGATAATGTATCCTATAAAATCTCTCGGGTCACATAGAAGGCAAAAAGAGTAGGAGAAAAAGGAAATGACTTGAGCAAATTTATGGCATTTGAGCATTTCACAACAATGTCAATGATCTATGTTTCAGTACAAACATCATATTGTTTTTCCCATTTCAAATATTAGAAGGACCTCAGCGCAAGATACACAGTCTGGTTTATAAGCCTCAGTCATTTAATACGTCAAGAATCATTGCACCTTATCATTATTGACACCATTTTTTGAGAATATTTAAGAACAAACATCTAGTAGGCCTACTCCATTTCCATTGTAGTAAGCAAAATAGAACTTTCACTACAACTATGCACCTTACACTACATGATTTGCTTGTCAAATTATGTTGGCATCATCTTGATTTATAAAACTCCAGTAACACATCCAATACCCAGAGCTTCCATGCCAGTACAGATAATATTTTCAGTTCCTTGATTCACAACACTGTTCTATTTCCTCCTTCCAAAGAAGAAACAAACCATGAGTCATGCACTCAAAGCACCTTTTGTATAATTATTTGAAAACGTTTCAAGCTGCAGAGTGCACTCTCAACAAAGTTGACCCTCTAGTACTGAACCATGCATTCAGTCTGTATCTAAACATACAACAATACAAGACCATCTGTTCTTGATTATTTAATATATTTAATCAAATGTGGCTCACTAAGTGATGCCTGGATAAAAAAAAACACAGAGAAAGAGAAAGAGGAATGATACAGAAAGAAAAGTAACACGAACTCTAATAGTCCAAAGCACATTATCTCTACTGATCATTAAACATGCAGTATCAAGTAATAAGTTGAAAAGAAAAAATAAACTAATCATGGAAGCTTACCTGTTAACTACTTCTCTTTTTAATGGACTTGAGGCCTGGTCTACCACCTCATTTGACTCGTGAAGATTCAGGACTCTTTCCTCACTTCGGTTAACCTTATCTGTATCATCCATAAGATTCCTTTCATAAAGGGAATCAGGAGAATCCAAAGAAATAGACCTTCAACATAGAACACAGCATTAATTCCATTTCCCAGAAGTTGGAAATCATAGGTTAATACAAGGAAAAAAAAATTTGGAAATCAATGATTAAAAATTGAATGGTACAGGAACTATATTAGTATTGTCTATTGAGAATTCCAGAATTCTAGCAGGGAAAGTTCAGTTCTTTAAACAATCAGGCAAAACTACTCAGAGCAGTTAGAAGGAATAAAAAATTAAAACAAAGCGCTGGAGGGAGAGCAAAAACATATGAATTCTCCGTTGTGCAAAATGCACCAGTCCATAGAAGGTTAACAAACAAATCAAGTAAGCTACACCACAACAAAAGCCTTGAAACAATTGAGTTTCTGCTGTATTCACATATCACGATCAACATTAACAACCTAACTCTTGAAAGAACTCCCTGATCAGCTAACGCACAACAATAGATTCAAGTTAGAATACTCCACTACTAATTTTGCCATATTTCAAGCTACCTACTTGAACTTAATCCTCTAGTTATGTACAGGGAGAAAAAAGGGGAAAAAAGAAACGAAACGAGAACTTTCAAGGTTGTTAAGAGCCAATATAGGTGTGCCTATGAATAGATTTTAACATCTTTCATTTCCATCAGTTTCTGGGCAACTGAACTGAACTTAAAACAAAACTGCAGCCTCAAATGCATAAAAATGTAGAAAGAAAACGATCAGAGCGTTTTTCATTATCCAATATCACTTACCATGACATTTTAGCAAAGAAGTTAACGCTTTTTCCAAATTAAAAGAGTTATCAATATAATAATTAGCATTTGACTTAGAATAACGAAAACAAGCAGCAATAAAAAACCCACAAGAAAGGAAATTAGATGATCACCTTGTACCCATTAAAGCTAAAACTTTAGCAGCTCCATAAAACCACAAATAAGCAAACTTTTGAATCACAAAATACCCATTAAAGCCTAAGCACCAGCTTTTGTCGAAAAGCAATAAATTTCGCGAAAGTGAGAGGCAAATTTGGATACCTTTTGAGATTAGAACAAGAAAAAGCAAGAAAACCTAAGTGGGGTTTTTTGAAACTGAAAAGAGAATTTGGAAAGCTTAAGATACACACAAGAGTTTTTCAAAGATGGATGATGAGAATAGACCAGAAAAGAAAGATGCTTTTATATACTAGAATTCAAGATGTAGACTTTTCTTTTTTTACTTTTTCTTCTTTTCTCAGACTTTTGAGTCCCTCTATGTTTTTTGTTCAATCCTTTGTTGGGTTTCAGTTCTTTGATTTTGACAAAGCTGGCATGCTAGATGCTAACATGCGCTGTCCTTTCTAGCGCATTATACCATAGTCAGACCATAAGGCATTTAAAAAAACAAAAAAAAAAAAACAAATGAGTGATGGCGGTCCTGAACCGGTGGACTCTGAAATTGCTATTACCAGGTCTCCTGTTGCTATTTCCAGATGAAACTTTAACTTCTGAGAATTTTTTTAAAAAATAAAAAAATAAAAAAAGATAGACGAGGAGAACTAGTCAATGACATTAGGAGAGAAAGGTGGTAGTGATAAAGGGTTATTATAAACAATAATTAATAAAACAAGTCGATGTTGTTAAGGAAAGAAAAAACATGGAAGAATTATTATATAATAATTAAGAGTACTTGTCTAGTGAATATATAACTTGTTTTAAATCATTTTCTTATGTTGCAAAAGGAAAAAATGAACCATTGCTTTTTTCTTTAAAAAAAAATATATATTATTATGCAACTATTGCTAAATGTAACCCCAAAGATTAGCATATGATCCCATATCTATAAAAATTTATTACGCAATCATTGGCATGTCTAATTTCAGACATTGATGTATGATCAATGGCTACAACCTACAAAGGGATCCTTTATGCAATTAATCTTCTAGTCTCCTTGGATTAATGACCTTTTTTTGTTAATTTAAAACCATTCATGTGCAAGTTAGCTTCTATTCTATTAATTTTAGTGCTGATGAAAAGCAGGGCATTTGACAAGTCTTTCATGCCGAGTTTCGTAAATTCAAAGAATGAAGCTTTCTTAAGTCAACTTTGGAGGATATACATAATTGCAGCCTTGTGTTGGTTGAGTATCAACGGTAAACCAAGCTGCCCACCACGTAACTCAGAAAGAACGATCCATTCTCTACTGAGGACCATAATGGAGGTCTCCCACGGTCTTTAGGAGTTAAAACTTTCATTTTCCATACTTGGAGAAAAAAGTATTATTATTATTTTTTTATCTCCAGTCTATCAAATTAAAGAATATCATCTTTGCCTCCATATCTGAATAAATTGTATATTTTTATCTATTTCTACCTCTTTCTCTATGAAAGTTCCTTCATAAGTGTATGAGCTTAAAAAGAAAAAAGAAAAAAGTTCCTTCATACATTTGTCTCTATTTTCAAATGAACGGAAGGGGACTTGACGAATATAATTATCATCCCTACACTATAGTGGCAGGAAAAAAAAAAAAAAAAAACTTTCAATAATATCGTACATGAGGTAGCTCACCCAACTATTTTTTGTTGATTTTGTCAACTAAATTTTCAGGAAGATTCCGTCAAACAATGACCCCCCTAGTTAGATATATTTCCATCTTCATTTATGAAGTGGATGAGCAATGGCCAGACTTTTCCAATTGGATCGTTTTAATAGTGGTGCATGATCGGTTGATGAACCAAGAAAGTACCAAAATGAATTTGGCTCTTAGCTTATTCAGATAATTTGGACTATACATAAAGGAAGAAAAGAAATTAGGAAGAGTTTGGCTATCGTCTCGATTAAACTATAATTTGATGTTCAAACCTTCGTTTTCAAGACTATAATTTAATCTATAACACTGCATTAACCAGAGCATAGAAAAATCCCAATATACGTCTTCTTTTTTTTTTTTTTTCCAAAGAATTCACCTCCCCTCGTACGCTATCCAGCGCCATCACTGTATGAATATAGGCATGTGGGCCTGATGGTTGAGAGTGTCTCAGGATTGCTTATTCCCATGCTTTGTGTTTCATAAGAAAGAGAAGGGTTAGAGAAGTGGGTAAATCGGTATAATCTAGATGTGTAGGATCTGAGAATCATAAACAAGAGAATTGTGAGGAACCAAAGACAGGAATTTAAAAGAAATATCCTCAAGAATTAATTTGGCTGATGTAAGATGATTGTTTGGCTTTGATAAAATTCATCATGCTTGATCCATCACCCTGCTTCACAACCTTCCCATTTTCCATGTACAAAGCACCATCTGCATATTCAAGTTCTTCCAACCTATGGGTTACCCATAGAGCTGTAACATCATCAGATGCATTCAAGGAGTTCTTGACGGCTTTGACCACGCCAACCTAGCAATCAATATAGAGCTATTCAAAACGTATAATAACCTTAAAAAATGTATTAAAAAAAACAAAAATTGACAAACATAAAGGGATTTCAAGCATGAAGGTTATTTAGCTGCTTTCTAATAAGCATCTCTCCAGATAAGACATGTACTTGAAGATGCAAAAGCAAAATATTTGGTGTCATATTAATAGTGTGCCCGTTACATCAAGCTTTCAACAACTAAGTTTAAACATCACCCACACACACACATGACAATACACACAGGCACACACACAACTACGGGTTCTTTCAGGTAGAGTTGAGGCAGTGTTGTACACAAATAATGCCGCATTAGGAATTGGTGCTGTTGAAAGAGATGTGAGAGGAGAAGCAAGCAATCTTAGAAGACAAGAATGTTGTAGCGGGTTAAGATTTGGGTACTAGTACACACAACTACAGGTTCTTTCAGGTAGTGTCGAGGCAGTGTCGTATACAAATAAGGCTGGATTAGGAAATTGGTGCAGTAGAGGTGCGTGGGGAGAAGCAAACAGTCTCAAAAGACGAGAATGTTGTAGCAGGTGCAGATTTTGGTACTAGAAATGGGTGATGTGACTAACCATACCCAGTGGTGAAGAATGATGTGTGCTACTGAGCAAACGGGGTGTCCTTTGGAGGGCACAAAAACCTAGAGGAATAATTAGCCAAAAAGGGAAACAGGTAATGAAGAGAGAGGGAGAGATTGTAAGGTTTTGCTCACACTCTCACTCTTTATATTACCTTTTCTTCTTTTTGGCTAACTATTCCCCCTTGGTTGTTAAGCCCCTCAAATATTGCTAGGACACACCCCATTTGGGTAGTAGCACACATTTCCCTTCATCATTTGAAAATGTTCAGTCACATCACCCATGAAGTCCTCGCTTGCCACAAATTCACGTTTGTGAAGATTGTCTGCTCCTCCTCTCATGCCTCTCTCTATGCACCTGCTCCCTGTTGCAGCATTACCAATATGCAACATTGCCTCATTGAATCTTACTCCAAAAGAACCAGCACCTACAATGTTCAATGCCAATTCCTTCCCAACCATTGCTGTTATTATTTGATATCCTTCGTCGCTTCAAACAACTAAAATTGCACAGCAAGTTATACCTGATCAGTTTCGTCTAAGAATGTTGTTAGCTCATCCAATAAGAGCACTTTACATGCTTCAGCTAGAGCCCCAGCAATTGCAACCCTTTGTTTCTGACCGCCACTGAGAGTCTGAACTGGCCGCTGATGAGTGCAGAAGAAGGTGATTATGCAAGAAACATATAGTTAAGAATATGTCTTGAAAGTTACAGGTTCATGACCCTACTTGCATGTAGGCAGACATTCCCACAGCATCCAAAGCTTTTGACACTGTGTGCCTAACTTGATCCTCAGTGAGGTTCAACTTCCCAAGGCCAAATGATACATCAGCTTCAACTGTAGGCATCACAACCTGCAATTGTGAAGGATGTTGCTTTTGTTAATATATGTACATACCATATCTCATTTTTCACAATTTAGCAGATATGAATCAACTTAAATGCAGCATTGCAAAGGTGCAATAAAACATATGCTAAAGAAAAAAAAAAAAAACGGAAATGCATATATTGACACAAAGCTTTGTTGTTGTTCGGTTGAAGCAGGTTGTAGAAGTAATACACAATCCAGCGATAAAATAACTGCATTTTTTTATGGAAGGATAACCAAGAGAGAACCACAAAAACTATTCCCTAAACTATTCCAATTTCATGATTACATGATCTAATTGTGTCAAATATCTTAAGGAATAGCTTTTCCTTCAGTTTTTATATTTAACTGCATTATCTCGAAGTGAAAACTGGAAACTGATCGGAATACATTGTATTACAGTGAAAAAACCTACAAGAGTCCTAGATAAGACTACGAAAAAAGAGTTATCATCAGTAAATGAATTTGAGAAGAAATTACATGCTACTGCCAGGTTGAATTTTTCACTCACTTCTCAATAGCTTTTGATGCTAAGCATCCTGGACAAAAAAAAAAAAAAAAAAAAACACCTATGATTAATAAGAAGAGGGAAAAAAATCCCTTTATCTCCACTCAATTCTTCTGTTTGATAAAAGAACCTGGCAAACATCTCAGAAAGGGTGCTTATAACCTTCTGGGAAGATGTCAAAATTTAAGATACACTGTTATTGATGGGTGAAGAATTTGACAATGCGACAAAAATAAAAGGTATCTTAGTGCATTTTCATTTATAAAATTTCTGCCCTCTGATGATCTTTCATGGAGACAAACAGAAGAATACTAGTCAAACTTTCTTCTATCTTTTATTTTCCTCATCTCTTCCTTTCTAGTTACAGAGGAGGAGGAGATCGTGATGCAGGAAGTTAATTTTCACCCAAAAAAAAAAAAAAATCATGCATAATATGTGAAAGAAAGGCCACAGATTATGAACAGTGCAAACATGCCAAACCAGTCACAGTTAAAACAAATGCATTGCTAGGATTGGCACAGATTATAAACAATTTGGTCCTTGTGTTGTGGTTTTCAGGCACATATCAACCTGATACATCAACAAAAATGGCTGGCAGATAGTAGCTTTAGTTTAATATTAAGATCTCTAAGCAAGAAATTAATGTTAACTTCCCCTCAGGGTTATATTTTTACTTTCTGGCAATTATTTTGAGAAGGAAAAACTGCAAAATGTTTTGCTTTGGTGGAGTAATAACAGAAGGCAATTGTTAAAATAAGAACCAGAAGACACAATTAGAAGCTCTATGAAGCAATAGGGAATGGGATTGGCAACGACAGTATCATAGATGAACTATATCGCAGAGCATCATTAGATAATGCAGGCCCAAAATCTTAAAAGAACCCAATTTTGCAGAGCTAACCCAGCTTTATCACCGCATAAAACGGTCTAAATACTTCACAAACCAAGGAATGAAAGGAAAAAAAAAATATTTGAAGTAAACATCAATTACATGTATAATGACAAAATCAGCATGTGCAGTAGTTAAAAGGAGGAAAAAAACTAACCTGATGGTCTGGATTCTGAAAAACAAAGCTCTTAGGCCTTTTGACAGACATGGTTCCACTAGTTGGCTTCAAAAGACCAGCCAGAATCTTTCTAATTCACAATAGCAGAACCCATCACTTCTTTGCTTCTTTAACATCTCAAAAACCAAAACTTAATCTTTGTTAAAGTAAGAAGTGAAAATTTAAGTTACCTTCAAAAGGGTAGATTTTCCACACCCATTAGGTCCAAGAAGCATCCAAAGCTGCCCAGATGGAATACTAAGAGAACAGTCCTTAAGGATGGGAACTAAATTCCCTTGACTTGTTTTGACAGAGAAGTTCAGATTCCTACCTTCAATTGCAATGCTGTTATCTCTCTCAGTAATATAATTACTCCTGCAAATATACAAGAACAAACAACGTAATATAAGTGAAGTAGAGTAGAGAAAACAAGAAAATCAGCAAACCAGCAATCTGTTTGAAGAATTGCTTGAAAGGGAGGAAGTGTAGTTTGGACCTTGAAGATGGAGCTGATTGAAGAGGGAGAAAGCTAGGAGGAACAGAGGCACGAAACAGAGCGGAGATATCCATGAGTCATCCCAATTGGTTTGGGATTATAAAACATTCTTTGGGCTAACAAAATCATTGGAATGGGCTGAGTGTTTAAAGTGTAATGGGCTATGGTTGTTTAAAGAAGTAAGAGTGTGTTTGGTAATAAAAATTTTTAATAGTTTCCTACGTGGTCTTTAAAATTCGGCCTTTAAAAATAAGAAAAGGGACATCATCCCTTATCCAATCTCTCTTAACATTTGCCCTCTTAAAACTGAAAACTTTCGAACTTCAAAAACTCTGTTTCTGTCTGTCTCTGTCTCTTTCTATCTACTATGGCTACTTTCTCTGCAACTCTACTAAAAAGCTCTTTTCCTTGCTTCTCTCCATTTCCACAGACGTTAAGAAGAAACCTTCTTTATATTCCATCCATTAGAGCTGTAAAATCCACTGAGCCAGAGAAAGAAAAGGCCACCAAAACTGGAGAACCCTCCACTAATGCTCAACCTTCACCTTCAACAGCTGCTCCTAAGCCCAAGAAACCTGTTTATTCAAGTGGGTTTTTAATTTTCACTCTGAAAAGGATGAAAATGTTTTAAGGATAGAGTTTTGATTCTTATCCACTGTTTTTTTTTTTTTTTTTTTTTTGTGCGTGGCAGTGAAGAAAGGACAGATTGTGAGAGTGGACAAAGAAAAGTACCTCAATAGCGTAAATGTAAGTATTGGTTTCTTTTTTTTTTCCCCTTCTTTTCTTGTCTTAGTTCGTTTTGTTTAGTTACTATGTTGTTGGAGATTAGACAGAGAAATCACTGCTACTATGAAGAGATTTTTTTGGGGGGTAGGGTCTTTTCTTTGGGCCGAACAGAGCTATCGTTTCTAGATTTTCAGAAATGTGATATGGACAGTTCGTCTCCATTTACCATGGTTTTTCTATTATCTATACTAGAAGCATTTTGAACATCCTGAATTTGGGTAATTATCAAGGAAAGCTTGGTTTTGTTGTTGAATTTGGTAATTCACATTCTATGGATAACCAAGATCATAATTCTCACAAATATCCATCATGTACTTCAAAGAATCACAAGCAGTAGGCAGCAGATACCTTTTTTTGTTTTTTATTTTTTGAGGTGGTGTAAAGGTCTTTTGGGGACTAATGGAAATCTAAGTTCAGTAAATATAGGAAAAAATTTGCACAAATTATAGTAGGCCTGTGTTGTAAGCAATAATCTTTACTCCTTAAGTCCATATCAATCTACTCTGTTTTACACTCAGAGGTAGACATGAAACATGAAGCCTACATAAAGATTTCTATGGGTTTATATTTATCTTGAACACCAAAATAAAAGTTATTGGTACTTGTTCTTTTATTTGCATCCTTTGCTTTTCCTTTTGTCTACCCCTGTTATTTCATTCACTAAGCATCAGTATCCTGGAAACTCTGATTTTTTTTATCGCTTTATTCAGTATCTATCTGTTGGGCATCCACCTTATTACAAGGGCTTGGACTATATTTATGAAGACCGTGGTGAGGTGATTTTTCTGTCCTTCCTATTCACGAAAGTCTTCATGCAAGATTGAAATTTGGTTCTTAATAATGGATGATCATAATCTTCCACATTTCTGACTACCTGTATATTACCCTTTTAGGTTTTGGATTTGCGGATATTTGAGACGGGAGAGTATGCTCTTGTAAGTACTTTTCTTTATTTCAATGCCTATTTTTCTTAACTCAGTAGATGACCTTGATTCACATAGAAAAATGTCATTTAATCTTTCTCCCAAGAAGATATAAATAAAGGTCATTGTAGGTCAAGTTTCAGTCGTAATTGGCATGCATTGTTCAATAAGTTTTTGCTTTTGAACATACAAAATATGAAAAAAAAAAAAAAAAAAAATCATTTGAATGTGACCTTTATAAATATTGAGCTTCAACTGTTTAAATTAACTGTTCCAAGTTATTTCAATTTATATATCTATGCTTTTTCCTCTCTGGTTTTTTGGTTAATATAAGAAATAACCACATACCTGGAGATGTATGGCTGAAACAGTATTTCTGCCGCTCTTACAAACTGAAAATTTTCTGAACCAAGTTGCTAGAGTGATGATACATGTGAATTTGGATCAATCGACCAATGCAAATTTAAATAACAAAAACTCTAATTCTTTTGACAGGTTTCATGGGTTGGAGTCCCCACTGCTCCAGCTTGGCTTCCAACAGACATGCTTATCAAGGTATTCTTAAACTTGGCTTGGATGAACTTAGTGTTGGTTAAGCCATAGTTAATTGGTCTTGGATTGACATCTACCTCAATTCAAGCTCAACAAATCAAGCTAACCACAGCACTTGATTAGTTTGGTTGATCTGACTTCTGATTAGAAGCCTTCTAGGCTTGCTCATCAGCAGAGTTTGAGATTAATTTCAAGTCAGAACCGGCATCCACATCACAACTGTCCAAGGAAAAAGCGTAACCCTGCATAGGTCCTTGTCATGTTTTTGTCTCATAACCCTACTTTCCTTTCAAAGGAGTTCCACTCTGTAGTTTTGTGATGCTATATGTGCATAGAGGATAGCATTCCTGCAAATATTCTCTCTCTCTATTTTTTTTTTTTTGGTTCATCATACTCAAGAGGGTAGCCCTCCCCCAATATTACATTATAACAGTAGTCGAACCTTGTTTTATTAAAAAAACTATTAGACACACAACCATTAGGCCAAGTTCACGTGTGCAGTTCCGCAAATATTGAGACAAGAGCTTATTTCAATTGATCCTTTTGAGTATGAATCCTTATAATAGCAGAAGCTGGCTGTTTGCCAATAAGTGCCTTCCCCAATTCAACTCCTTATCCATCTTTCACAGGATAGTTACATGAATGCTGAAGCTGCCTATTTAAGAGTGTTTTGGATTATCATAAATAATTACTCAACTCTCATGTTTGCTTGCAGTCCGAGAAGCTGAATTACGAAAGATTGTGAGATCTATGTGTAATGAAGGAGGATCCCATCTTCTTTTATGATGCATGGCAATGGATTCCTACGAATCACTATACCTTGGCCATCTTCAGCAACAACTTATATTGTATCTTCAGCAATGGATTCCTACGAATCACTATATTCAAGGCCATTAATTTAGCTAGCTTACATCATTCATTTGATAATAATACTGCAATGGTTACTTTAAGAGTTATATATGTACAGTTTAAACACTTTTAAACTGTAAACCCTTTGACATTATCTCAGTTCAAAGTAATATAGAAACAAAAAAATGTATATTCTTCGATTAAGAAGTTCTTTTTTTCAGTTACCAATTAATAGAAAAGAGGAGTGTGATCAAAAACAGAAAACAGAGGAGAGTGGTGGTCTCTCCGGTCATAGTGATGCTGCATATCTTCACTCGTGGATAAGAAGCGAGCAAGTGCTAGGTCTCATGAAGATCAACAGCCTAAGGCCTTTCTCCTTCTACTTGTGGATCGTGGCACTAGTCGCCTCGCGTAGGATGGCAATGGACAGGCACCTGGTTCATTAAGCCAGTCTCCTATCCTACATCTCTGTCCACTTAAAAAACACTAAGTCCTATACCCATCAAGAAATTATCCTTCAAGCCAGTACCATACCCAAAGTATATCTTGTCCATACTCCCCATGCAACTAGATTTTCACTCATTTTCATTTTAGTCCCCTAGTTATTAAAAAAATTTATTTTGGTCCTTAAATTGAATACTTTTTACAAATAAGTTCTTAAATTACAAATTTTTGGTCCTCGATTATTTTTGGGGGAAAAAAATAGGTTCTCATATATCAAAAGTTAAAATAAAAATAAATAAATAAAAAAAAACCTATTAGTAGGACATGAAGTTGATACAAAGATCATAAAGCTATACACAAAGTATATTTTTTCTACCTATACCCACCACAATACTCACTAGGCATACCTAACGGATATTTAATGGATCGATTAGACGGATATCTATTTCATATCAAGTTCATTGTCTCCGGTGAATTTTCAAGTGCTTGTGATAAAGGCAGACTTCACAACTCTTGTTCTATTTATATATTTTTATTTAAAGGTAAAAGTATCATTGAACCAACCGACTTGTAAGCAAGACACACCTCACCCATGAATCTATCCAAGTAAATTCAAAAAAGATTTATAAATTTTTGTAAATGTTGATCCTACGATTTGAACAGAGAATCACATTATAAACTCTAATTATTAAGTATGTAAAGATTAAATAGATCAAAACTTCGTAAGAATAGTCGATGTTAGTAGCATGGAAAGATATAGGTGAAGTTGTAAGAGTTGCATTCATGATAGCCAAAGTCAGGTTTGAATCTTGTCCTTAGCTATTCATCAAATGCTTTATGTGGTATTAAGCGATTGAAAAGAATAGCATAGAAGTGATTGTGGTGGTCCAAGTTCCAACATAAATCCCACTTCCTCATAAATCACCAAGAACGTAAAACAGATTGATAATGACATCAATAATCATGGTCTAATTGCCATAGTATCAAACCTTCGTCTTTCTAAGTCGCATGCTTAGCTTGGCTCGAAAACTAAAATAAGACCGAATAATGACGTGCCCGTAAGATTTGCTAAATGCATATGTATTTAAAGCGATTCGAGTGGTATCTAAATTATATTAATTTTTAATAAAAAAATAATAATGTAATAGCTACAAAAAGTATACACTACATATATTTTTCAATATTGTGTCTACATTATATTAATTTCCTAGTAGAAAGGCTTTGCTTCGTTTATTATGGAGTAAATTATATATTAGTCACTCCATATCAATTAAATTCAATTATTCCATATCCATTAAATCTAATTATTTCCTACCAATTAAATCCAATTATTTCATGTCGAGTTAAATTAAATTATAGCGTTTAAGTCAATTAAACTATTTAACTCTTCAATTATTAAGTTCCAATTAAATCTAATTTACTTCTTTATCTAATCCATTTATTAACCTAGGCCAATTTATTACCCCGATCATTAATTTGAAATATAAATGGAATTTACTACCACTAACCACACACATATTTATTTATGTATTTAGAGTTATCCTAAGAGTATTGTTAGTTTATAATCCTAAGAGTATTGTTAGTTTATAAACCATAAGTACTAACGCTAGAATATACACTAAAGTCCAAAAACATAAGATAAAGAAAAAGTTAAAGTTCTCTACCTCACACCTATACAAGTAAGTACACTCAACGACAAGTTAGCTATTGTTTGGCAATGACTCTTAACTCAAATCATAGCATCATTTAGTAGTTTTCACATCTACACAACAAGAAGAAAAAGGTGAGCTATGCTCACTAAGTATAGTCCATCCATGAAATGCACGTGATATATTTAAAAACCTTTTTATATCTTTTGAAATTCATTTTTCTCGTCGGACGCATCCTATCGATTTTATACATAATCGGTCCTCTTTTAAAACATGCAATTGTGAGAAATCACAAAAGCACTAGGCATCCTCCCTTTTTTCTTTTCTTTTTCCTCACAAGAGGGTGATCATTCCTCTTGCAATTCTTTTGAAGATGCCTAGTCATTTTCTTTTAAAACAAGTCATTTCCTCTCTTTTTTTCCTTTCCTTTGAAAATCATGAAGAAAAATTCTTTCATGATTATGCATGCAATAAAATGCATTACCTTAATCCTTTTTGCAATCATGCATGCATTAACAACATGTACATGTAATATAAATTTGTAAACACAAACATGTACTTAATAATTTATTGCATGCATCGATTTAACATTTAATCCAACAATTACCATAAGCTATAAAAATTAGCGCATGGCCAAAACATGTCATCCAAATCAACTTCACGTGGCCAAGAACAAATCAAAAAATAATCACATATATGCATCCTTAAACAACCTAACAAAAATCAATTCATCACAATTTCATAGAATTAGGCATTTAACCCAAATTGTTGATCTTGGTTGAATTATCCACTTCACATAATCAATAAAAATTTTGCAATTACACACTTGTATTCATGTTGAATCATCTTTTTACACAATTAAACATCATTAAACATCAAACTAATTCAACCAATTCCAATTTAAGATTTTGGCCAAAATCATCATCCATGATGAACAATATTAATTCTTCAATTAAACACATTTAATCACATCCAATCCATTATATAAACATATAATTAACACAATTACCCAAATTAATTCAATTAACCATAATTTTTTGTTATGGCCGAATCATTTAGTCAATTAATGCAATGATTAATTTCCAATAAAACACATGTAATCATGCTTAATCAACCTTACGATCACCTAAATAACACAATTACATGAAACTAATAAATTTCTCCCAAATTATGACTTAAGCCAAAACATGTAGCCCCAAAACACCAACTTCAATCTTTTAATTAAACTATATTTAAGCACGTAAATATGTTAATCCATTCATTGAAACCAAGATTTCATCAATAGTTCATCATGATCAACCAAGTTTATCATAACCCAAATAACCGAATACTAAATTTACAACTTTTTGAACTTCAAGCATCGATCATATAGCATTAAAAACACCTAATTCTTGTGGTGTAGTTCGGACTACACTTATCTTGATTGATGCTAGGTAATCTCTACCTTGAAAGCTTGAAGTCTACTCCTCCTTTCTTCTCTAAATGTTTCAGCCAAGATCTTAATTTTTCCCCATTCTTTATTTGGCTTTTCTAAGTACTTTTAGGTTGATTTTGGGGTATGCTTATGGGTAATTTGATGGTTTTAGGTGGTGGTTTGCTTTGATTCTACTTGAATTTTGGCTTGAATTTCTTTTATTCTTCCTTAAGTTTTAATTTGTTCATCACTAATGACATGTCATATCGCTAACAAATTATTATTTTTTCTCACGAAACCCAACCACAAGGGTGTAGACGGGGCAAAGGTCGAATCCACAAGAAAGTGGCCTAATCAACGATTTTTATTGGTTGATTTTTTTATAGTGTAAAAGAATCAAAAAGAGGTTTGTGTATATGGTAATTTGTAAGCAATCAAAAGAAAATAGAAATAACAATAATGGAAAAGTTTTTGGTTAAAGTTTAGTATCCACTTTTGGTTTAGTCGTTAATCATTGATTCAATTATTAACCTATCCTTAATATAAATATTCACCGTTGGACAACAACATGTTATTACCCCAATCTTTCCTTAGTGAATATTCACCATAGAACAATAACATGTATGTTATCTCTAATGTTTCTTTAGTGATTTGTTAACTAAATAGATGCTACTTGATTTATTCCCTACCTATTAAACAAGCTAGTAGATGCTAGCCGCATTTAATCCAATAATAGCATTAAAGTAGAGAAAGATATGTGAAACTAAACCACCCTTCTAGAAGCTAAAAAGATGTAATCTAGTTTTACGTTTTCCAATGGATTAAACGAAAACACCTTTATAATCATTGACCCTTAATTACTACCATAAGCAAGTTTAGATAAGCAATTATACGGACTTGAATACTTAGCCAATAATAAATTATAATGATCAAAGAACTAGCATGCACTCTAATAAATTAATCACACAATCATAATCAAATAATATAGAAAAATATAAAATACTCAACAAGAATAAATTTAGAATTAAAACTCATTAATATCTCATAATGATTTAGCCAAAAGTATCAATGTTCTTCAACCAAGATAGATATTTAGCATGTTCATGGCTTATTAGTTTTAATTCTAAACTAATAAGTTGTTCATAACTTGAATACTTAGTTGGCAATAGATTATGATGATCAAAAAACTAGCATGCACTCTAATAAATTAATCACACAATCATAACCAAATGATGCGAGAAAAATATAAAATACTCAACAAGAATAAGTTTAGTATTAAAACTCATTAATATCTCATAATGATTTAACCAAAAGTATCAATTTTCTTCAACCAAGATAGGTTTTTAGTTGTTTAAGGCTGATTACAATAGAGATTTTGTTTATCTTTGG